CCAAAAGTCATTCATTTCTGCTCCCTATTTTTGTCGATTCCCAGTGTGCTCTGCTGCCATTAGTAACATAGGTGTCAAAATCAATGTCAATTAGCTGAGACAACGAGATAGGATAGGTGTTATATTAACAAGTACCTGTAGCTTCTGGCTTTGCACGCGAATGACCATGTGGTCTTAAACTGGGTCGGTGCAAGGGAAGGGCAGCAAAGATATTCCAAGTATCATCTCGCATTTGAAACATTCACGTTCGAGAAACTCGCCAAGTTGCTGACCATTTGATGTAAACACCTACACGTTTTCCGATGCTTGTGTACAGCGTGAAAGTGCGATGACCGTGAAACTGCAGTGCTCGCTACGTGTCGAACACATGGTTTGCACCAAGAGGAAACAGATGTGGCAAAAATTCATCAAGCCACGTATTAAAAGCCTATGGTGAATATGTTGTGCGTGGAAACGATTAGTCACCATTTTTCAGTTCCTAACAATGATAAGTCACGGCTGCGTACGTTTTATCACGTCGAAAAGCGGAAGGACACGTTTCACGTATAATTCCCACTTACTGTCATGCTACGAGTAATCCTGATACATGGATACGTGATGGAACGCTTTATGAAAGCTACAGCTGACCTAAAAATACAACGATACTACTTCATTCTCCTACGATTCTTACACCCTACAAATTATTCATACAAAGGCCTGGCTACAACGTCAAATATACATATGAACATGCTAGCTAACCGTGGTAAAGTGGGCGCAGGTTTCCCCCCACCCATGAAAAATGCAGGGAAACGTTCGATTTGCTATTTGTGCCAATTTTGTCCTCCGTCTGCCCGCTGTGTAATTTTCCATCCACACCGTCAAACATCGACATGACGGGTCGTCAACCCCAAATTTCTCCACGTAACACTGTAATTGAACAATTTATGCAGCGTTTTTTAAGAAATACCTAGATTCGTGAAATTTATAGCTCATGCCATATATTCCAGCCCATCTGATGCGAGTCCTTATATCAATCCCGAGCAGTTTGCTGGCGGTAGGACTGAGCCTTTGAGCGAGATATTAACTTTGCATGGCGAAAATGAAATACCTCCTGATCGACCGACCATATCAACATTTTCGCGACGGAAGTGCCATTCCTGCTCGCCCCATAAAGCAAGAACAACATCAACCCTCGCACATTGATGCCCGCCTAATGTGGCCTTTCTTGTTGCCCATTGTACAGATATATCAATTTAAGGAGAGGCACATTTCAAACCAGCTGAGCACTGCCTGCCACACACACATGCATTTTCTTCTTTATCTATCAAACAGGTACACTAAGATTTTAGTCTGCTTTCACAGACAATAAAGTAAAGCAATTATGCTGAACTTAATTCTTCAAGATAAAAAAGCAGCTACCAGTTGATTGCAATGCTAATAAAAATTTGAAAAAAATGTGGTCAAATATTTTAGAATAACTATTCTAAAATATATTCTTCATGAAATAGAATAATGAGAGTGTTGGTGTGTTTTTAATCTTAAACTTAAGTACAAAGGATACATGTATATCTTTTGAAGTATTGGGTATTGAATCGTATGGTAGGCCCCTGAAGTATAACTAACAGTAATTACAGATAGCTGAAAGATCATGTGAAGCAATACTCGTACATTTCAGGGCAAAATATTTCTAATGAGACAACAGAAACACAGTCTACTGTAGCTAACTGTAAGCTATACTTAACAAGAAAAACTCTTGTCAATACATGTTCAAAATACCAAATCTTGCATATCCCCACAATGAACAAGGCCCCATGAGCATCAACCTCGGTATTACACGATAATTTGCGTCTCAAAAATTATGTTGCCCTAGTTTTAACAAAGCATTTGTCATAATTAGATGTATTGGGTAATGTTTGCATATCGGGGGTCCCATTCATCGTAAAAAATTAATCCGTTTGTAGCTATAGAATTTGGCTGTGTCCTTCCTTTGGGTAGAAGCTGTACTGTTTGCCTCTGACATGAACAAAACAGGCAAACAGTTAACCAGAAATTTGCAGAATTAGGAGAAATGAAATGGACATCCCTCAGCGGGCGCGTGGGCCGTCCCTTCTGATTTCAATCTTCCGAGCAATAAAGCCTTCCGAAAAATTCTCACGACCCTTCGCTATCTGGTTCAGCTGTCCACGTATTTATTGCGCGGCAGTGTTTGACCTTCCGGAACAAACATAGTAAGGTCCGCGGCCCACACTTGTAGCAAACACGTCCGTGTGTTGTTTCTGTGCGTTGTGTACGTCCTAGACAGCTGGGGTAATAAGTACCATATATCAGGTCGACAGGCAAGTTATGGGGCAGTCTTGCCATTATGAGCAATCATGAGGAAAAGATAATTCAGCTATGCATGCGGCGGCTGGATGGGAATGTTAAAAGAGGGAGAATTACGATAAATGTTATTTGTCGAAGGTGCTTGGTTTCTGACGGGAGGAAAATTATGAAATCAACGCACACAAGGTGAAGGTATCTGGTCTACGGTTATTTGATAGGTGATGCTGGCGGTACGTTGGTAGCAGATTCGGGGGAAGCGTACGTTGGCGTGCAACCGTCTCGTGGGGACCTGTCACGGGCTCGTCGGAGGAACACGCATCACACGTATGTTACACGCCCGGGTGCCTCAACATCATCCCTCAGACAAGGAGTATGCATTACCAGAGTGCAGCAACCTACTCCAGACATATATACCATCCCCCCACACCCAACTTCAACCTTCGCAGCCCTTCCCCATTATTCCTACAACTGTCGTTCTGATTAATTATTCATGCCATATTTTGAGGATTTGAGGACGAGTGCTCGGACAGTAGGTAGCTGTCAGCAAAGACAGCGGGGACCGGAGTTTACATCCCACACAGAGGATCAATATGTGATGCACAAATTTCATTTGCTATTAGCGGTAATCAGAAGGTAATATGTCGTCGCTGTGCATCAAGATATATCAGCGTAGAAATATGATGTGCGGGGGAACACGTCCGTTAATATGTATTAGTTCTTATCTGCTTTAAATGTGACACGAATCTGTGACAAACACCGTATGAATTATTGATCGGAGGTATTAATATTAACATGCCATGGTCCTTAGCTGAGTAAACCGACGTGAGACTACAGAACACGACAGTCTACTGTTCAACCTGATACTGTGTGGGGAAGTGAGCCGTACCATCGGCACATAAATCACATACAACCGACAACATGTTGGCTTTCTGACTGCTTAGACTGCATAACCTTTCATTTCTATGGACAAAATCCCTACATTCAGCAAATCGAACACCTTGAATCTAAGTTTTTAAGGATACCAAGAGTAGTATCTTGACAAATAACAATTCTAGTAAAATATTGAACATGTTTCGTGGAAAGAAAGGGCTTGTTTTTGTTGTACAGTTGAAATTTAATCAGCTAGATTGTCTGAACCTCAAAATGCTTGTCTGTCCATTGCACGAAATTTGACACCATTTTGAGCCAGTCTAAACAAAGACAACACATTTTACTCTTTCAGATTTGGTTTTGATACAACAAAAACCATACATGTTATGGTGCATGTGTACATCGTGAATGCCACGCTTCCCTATTAATTGCTGCCATTTAAGTCTCTCTGATTGAATTTCTCCAATAGATGTTAATTATGGAGAAAATCAGTGTAAAATCTATTAGTAATTACTCCCCGAGTACTACAGCCAATATCTGATATGCAGCGTGGTGTGTCCACGCACCATCCTATCTCCTAAAAGATTTGTATGTTTTCCCATCTTTGCAGGGGGAAAAATTGAATACGGATGAAAAATCTATTATTTGGTAACTAAAGCTGGCTGATTCAATATTGAATGACACAATGGATAGCCTACAAGCTGGCTATCACCTAGAATATCTGCCAACATGACCAATCATATATAATCACTCTTGTCCAAGCCAATATGTACTATGCACCACAACTATGTATGATACAATAGGTTATAAGCATACTGTTTTAAACGAAATGTCTGGATAGTGTACATCAGAAATGATTTTGTATGATTACAATTTATCTCATATCAATATGTACTAAGCACCACAACTATGTATGATACAATAGGTCATAAGCATACTGTTTTTAACAAAGTGTCTGGATAGTGTACGTCACAAATGCTTTTGTATGATTACAATTTATCTCATATCCTACCAGACTGTTTTTGGCAGCACTCTTTGTTTGACATACCTTTTTTTCTAGGGACAACAACATCTGCTGACATAAGTCCCACCAAATTCTCTACCCAATTGTAACTCAACAAAAGAAAAAAAATTACTCAATCTTAATATTTCTCCATCTAAAAGTATTTCTCAACCAATATTTTGTATGTTTTTAGAAGGATTGTTAAATTTGGCCAATTTATAGGAAAATCACGTTTTTATTGATGTCTCCTATGGGCGCGTGTGCCGTTGTTGGTCTTAAGGTTTCCATGTGGCCTGTGCCCCAACTAGCGGACGCTCGCCGCCACAACAACACCTACACGTATTCTGCCATTCTACAAACCAACAAATATGTCTGCAAATATTTCACAGCTATAAAAACGCATCACAGATGAGTCACTTACCTTGGTATAGTTTTCTGTCCCCTCTTCTTACGATTACTTTGTATTTTATTGTATATTTTCGCCGGCGTTGTCAGTAAGGAATTATAGTAAACATCGGTATGACGATCTAGGTCTGTCACAAAATGTAGGTGACAAAATCCTTAAACCCGGCCACTACACCACGATATAATAGCGTTTTTTTCTGGTCTGAATGTACGTGTGTATTGTGTGTTTGTGTGTATCGTTTCGTGTAAATAGTGGGTGGGAAAAACTAACGGTGCATTTCAATAGCCACACATCAGCGGCCATCTGACCATTGTGTTTACTGCAATTAATATCGGGTGCTGGCGCGTGTGTGTGTGTGTTCAGCGGGTGAAATCGGGAATTTTTAATTTTTTTGTGGTGGAGAATATATGTTGTACTCACCCCTGGCAGTGTCTTTTGTTCGTGGAGGGCATTTTGCGCCTTGATTGCAGACTCCCTCGCACAATATGTCAGGAAAGCGCAGCCTGGTTCATACCAAAAACACACACACAACAAAGAGATGCTCAGCGCACGAAAAATACGACATTTTTTATTCAGTCTAGTCTACAAGCTACACAACATTTAAAACGGTACTAAAGACGGCCACATTTTAGACAAGCGTGATTTACAAGAATTGTGGGCTATTAAAAATGTAGCGACTGACAATTTGGGGTATTACAGATGCCGTTTTCATTTGGGGCAGGTGGTGTGTTGGAAATCGACATGGAAACAAAACAAATGACACCGCAGCGTATATTTCATCCCAAATTACATCGTCGAGGGAACACCGCTAAAAACTGAATGTTTTTTGGACACAGAAGACAAACAAAATACCCTGTCTTGATGAAATAAATTCAATCTTTAGAGAAATGATTTTAGAAGAAGATTGCGATTTAATTTTCTGGCGAAAACGCGCCAGGCTAGACAAAAACACAAAGGGCCCGCTAGACAGCGGCCGGGCGGGTAGCAATCCGACCTTGGTTGGTCTAATAAAATACTAATAAATCTCGGAGCTTCAAATTTTCGTGACATGGCAGGATATTCCTTGTGGAGTGTTGGAAATAAGGCCGATTTTGCTGCGGGGATGGCTGTGGGGATGTAGCGGTGTGTTTTATGGAAACGGCCGCTGGTTGTAAGAGCGGGGACAGGTGGTTTCGAAAACGTGGGTTCACGAACAGCTGTTCGCCTATTGAGCGATAGTCGAGGGGGGGGGCGACCAAAGAAATCACGCCGTGCCGCCGATCGTTTCTCTTACGGCTAACGATTCTAAATCACGACAACATTAACTAAATTCCAATCAACACACAATCACGGCTTCCAACCACATGGCATGTACGGGGTACGAAAACTAGGATGATACAGCGGGGAGGTGGAGGTTATGGAGCCGGGAAATAACAACAACACGCCGCAGACAGATTACACCGAACCCTTACCTTTGTGCATGCCCGTGAAGCGGTCTTTCAGGACCGTCAGTTCGTAGATCTTGCCGAATTCCTCGAAGACCGGCCTGAGGTCTTTCTCCTCCAGGTTTCGTGGGATTTGGCCGACGAATAGCTTGATAGCGTCGTGGTCTTTCATGGGTATGGTGGAACCGGTGAGGCCGTTGAGTTGTTTCGGTGTATTCCCCGTAACTACGTTCCCTGTGTCGTGCACTCCGTTGACGAGAGCCATATTTCCAGGCATTTCGAAGGCGGTGTGACTTCTTTTCTTTCCAAACTAGCGACACAGAAAAAGAAAAAGAAGAACAACAAGGAGACGTAAGGAGAGGAGTGTATAAATACAAAAAAAGAAGTGGACCCTGGTCTACGACGGCGAGCCTTTCCCTGTAATGTCACTTTCACTTATTCTGTCTCTCCTCTCACTTGTTCCCTCTTCTCACACGCGTGTTGGTCCGACCTGTACTGAAGCTAGCCCCACATTCAACCTCGCGCAACCCGAATTTGCATACGTAATGGTCGTAATTGGGGGTTGGCGCGAAAGGCAACGTCATAGGCCAGTGCGGATGGACTGTACCTATTTGCTAAAAAAGGGGTGATCTTAAAACACAAAATATCGCCGTCAGATACATTTTGAGCCAGAAATGTGAAATTTGGCGAACCATTGCACAATGCTGAGCTATGTTTCTCTGGGACCACAGTCACTGAGATTAACGGTACATTCACTACGTTCTTTATTTATCCCAACGAATGATCAGAACTCAGCTGATCACGGATTATATCAAAAATAAATCACAGTTCTTCTTTATTACATTAATACCACCAATTATATATACTCACAACATGGTTCAGCATGTATACAGCACGTTTTTGTAGACATGTGATTCTTAAGTTAAGCTAATTGCGATGTAAACCTTTATTAGAATCATACCGCTTTAAAATGAACACGAAAAAAATCGTGAGGTATAGACTGTACCATTGTGGATAATGGGGGTGAGGGCACGCTAGGGGTTCTCAATTAATCCCCTCTCACACCATGGGACAATGTTCCGCGATGTTTTCTGTCCGAAGCTCTTTGGTCCAGGGTAAACGAGTTAGGAGCGATCGCCCAGGTTTCCGTTGTATTGTACCGCCACGCCGAGTCGCTCAATACGGCAGTGGGAAACATCGATATGTGTAAAAGGCTTGGATTAGTAATTGTACTTGGATGAGATAAACCTATTAGGACAGTCGATATTGGCTGGCCCGTTTATGTACGTTAAAGGGATTTGTCAGAAAGTGGCGCAAAGACCAGAAATTGTAGCACTAGTGTTTAAAACGGGGGCTTTGCTGTGTAGTGCATACAGCAAGTGGCAAATTTACCAGTGTTAGAATATACGGCGCTGTGGTACTGGAGCTAGGCAATGCGATTTTCTGACGCGTGAATTTACATTTTTTTGTGTGATTTTCCCTTGTATTTACTTGGAGAACGTTTATTAAAGTGTGGGTGGCGGCAATGATAGACTTTCTCAGCATACATTTCTGTCGTTCCCACATTCAAACAAAGAAACAGCTGGTTTTTCTTTTTGTAATCCGACGGTTTGAAAGCTCTCCCTTGGCTTTTCTAATGCTACTTAGGAGATGAAGCAAAATGTATCCTGGGGTGCGACTAAACGGATGGAAATGTTCAGTCGTTTGCTGTTTTTTTACGGTGACAAAAGTGGACAACTATCGGCTAAAAGCTTAAAGTAAATACCATACACTGTAACAAGAATTAGTCATTACTTTTTACAAGTTTCGCTCAGGTGAAAATGAGTATTGTATTGTCCCCTGTGTTGGTGGCGGCATTAATATAAGTAAAAAAAAACTTGAGTGTGCCGTCACCACGTCTTGTGATTACATGTTGGAATATATATTAAAAAAAAGATTTTATACACTAGAAGATTATTACGAAGTTTTAAAAAAACGTATTTCGGTTTGCTGCGTAATGATTTTGCAATTTGTACGTTTACGCTAATAACTTTCATCGCCAAATGAATTGTTTTTAGGGTGATTTTATAAAAAAAAAACTTGTTATTCAGTGTCCGCCCTAGAAAACCAGCTGACTTGAGTTCGAGTGCACCTAAGGGGACAGGACAGCGACCCAAATCCATGCCAATCATTTTCCGCAGTAGGCCCAGTTCTGAGGTAAAATGTCGTCTGCAAACGAGATTAGAGCTGTCTGTATTGTTCAGGTTGCTGACGGCGGCCGGCCTCGAGGGCAGTGCTCCCAGCAGGCTCGACGGCTGGGGGAGAACCAACCTAGCGAGCGGTAAAGCTGGCTGAAATCTAGGGTATAGACCCGGGCATGCTCCCTCAGGAAATTTTCGCATTTCTAATCCTATTTCCCGTATTTCGAGAGGCAAATTTCAACTCCAAACTAGAGAAATACACACGATATTTGTATGTTTTTGATGCAACTTGCTCATGTTTTTAGGAAGTTTTAAAGTTAAAATGTTGATACTCTGACAAAAATATAATTCATAGTCATAGTGAAAGACAATCGCAAATAAAAGGACGTCCAAAACGCTTTTGTGGCGGGAAAACCGCTCTATTTGAGCCCACAATACGACCTTCAACATGGCATTGTCCTGCACGTTTTAAGTCTATATGCCTACTCTTCCTATCAACATATCCTACCAAAACATAGGAAATGGCAAGCCTTGATGATAAAGGTCAACTTGTGCATGCTTTAAATAGCAGTAGAAGTGGCTTACACAACCGGCTTTAACCGGAAAGAAGCGGCTTATACAGCCAGCTTAAAGCCAGAAAACCTGCACAGTAACACCTTGGTAACGCTATTGCTTGTAACTTTAAGTTTTGCTTGCGGTATACCCGTAAACACTGCACACATGACACTAGCAAAAAGGTTATATGTATTCCAAAGAAAATGACAGCAAAAAACGTCAGACAACTTTGTGAATAACAATTGATAATTGCAAATATATAGCCATGATGTCCTTGTATTCGCACTTATGCATCCTTAAGCATAGGTAGATATACGGCACATCATATGGACGCTAGCCCTGTCACTGGTTGTTCTGAGCTATAAATAGAACGATGATCTAAGCGTACTCTCGCAGACAGGACTATCGTGACTTGTGATTTGTCAAGATAAATTTGTGGATACAATGTACATACGAGTGTATGTAATATAGCTAGCCTGAGAGGGTAGAGAGTTTGGACTCTTAGGTGTTGTACCACGTATCAATTGTCTGATAAAAGTGTGTAATAAACGTACATGATTAGCTAGAACGGGTTTTAATGTTTGGCCTAATTCAGGAGTGATAGATCTAGTGTTAGTCATTCGGCTCTGGTTTCCAAGAATACGCCTATAGCCAGTATAGGGGCGGCGTAACAAACCAATTTCAAAATATAATCGAGGACGAATGATTTTTCCATTTCCCCATGATTTAAGCTAGTCTTGTATTGTATTGTATTATACTAAATGCTACGCTTGCTATGCTCTCATAAAAAGTGAGGTTTAATCAACCACTAAATTATCTGTTTAGCAAGTTTGTTAGCAGAAAAAATATTCTCAAAACAGTGTTTCGGTAACGTCAATTTGAGGCACACGATGAGAAAAAAATTGTTTCCTGGGCCGTTATATTTGAGCTTTTTTTCCGTAGAAACGAAACCCAAAGTGTGCCTTGTCGCGCCTTACAGACGGGCCTTAGGGAAAAGGGAGACTGAAAAAGGACGAAATGTGTATTGGCATCTATCTCAGACAGTTTTATTATCCACTGGGGATGTTTTTGCATAAAACGCGCCGCGGTGTAGCGGCGAGAGAGAGTGTGTAGGTGTGTGTAGAGCGAGGTCCAACGTGCTACGCGTAGACCGCCAGGACGATACCAAATCACGCGGCCCCGCAACATGAATACTACCGATAAATCGATGGTCATGAATATTCATGAGGAGGGGATTACGCGGGGAGCGCGTGGCGGGGACACGCGAGGCGCGCGCCGCCTGGTAGTGTGTGTTTGTTCGCACGGGGGGAGAGAAAAGGTGTATTTGTGTTCACCTGTGCCGCTCGATGTGGCTGCTAAGCGCTGCTTAGGAAAACTCAATACAGAGGAGACGGTTGAGCGCACTTCGGTCAACAGTGAGCGATTCCATGTATAGAGGGCCCCATATGTCCATTTTTGGTCAAATAATTTATAAAAAGGCTTTTTTCAGCTGCATAAGACTGGAGGGGTTTTCATAGCGAGATTTAAGCAGATTTTTCTCAGGGAAAGTATGAAAGTATGATCAGAAAGTATTGACAGGAAAATAACTACATATTATCACGTGGCTTCACTTAACCGCGACGGGGGCCGACATCGTCTTCCAGATACCTTTGACCCAGTGTTGACGTCACAGTTCAAAGAAGCCACGTGACAAGCCTCACTGGGTCAGTCTACTGAGGAAGACCTGAGCGAAAACTACCTATTGTGTTGACATAAACAAACTCATTGGATAAAAAAAAATTTAAAATGCTTAACTAATAAAAATCATTCGCTTTACCAATAGTATATTATAACCTGTATATTATGAAATAATATGACGATTTAGACTACTCCGTAGTTTGAAATGGATACAAGCTGATTTAAAAATTTTAGCTGCCTTCGTGTTTATTAAATATATCAATAACTTTATTGCACAACAGTTGTACAGGGTACATAACTGAAATTTTTCAAGGCTACCGAATACAAGAGTGTATTGAATGAATACCTAACCTTTGTTCTGTGCTTTGTTCATTTTATTTTATTTCATTTTTTATCTTCCCGCGTTGAAAGAAAAATGCTCCAGTGCTCAAAACAAATCGTCCGAATTGTTCTAGTACATATCAAAATGGTTTTGATGGTTTGGAAAAACGTAATGATGATAGATTAATAGTCTAAACGATATCTTTATGCAAAACTTTGGAAACTTTTAACAATATAATGAACAACGTTGACGTGCTTAGTAGTCATGCAGTACCCCTGATACCAGCATTAAAAATGGGCTGAGAGGAACACATCCATTTAAAACTGAAACAAACCGGGAAAAACGAGGAAAAAACTGAGATAGCAAGATGTCGTTACTCCTTCACTGTCTTGAACTACGACTTTCATTAATTTTGTAACTAATATTGCTAATCAGTACGTGGTATGGAGTCAAGTTCGTCATGTAGTCTGGTCCCACGCGACTCGGCTCCAGTCAGACCGTCGGGCGCGTTGTGACAGCATGGAGACCAATTAAACGTGTTTTCCACTTGCCTAAAGATATTTGACTTGAACAAACAACTTTAATTACTGTTCGTACGCATAACAGACTGGTTTGTAAGTGAAACAAATTAAGAAGTTTCCTTCATGTACCTGGGTGGTATTTTAGATAATGTTTTAGTCATAGTCATGCTATGACAGCAGTATTCTGTCTTGAATGTAGCGTTGCACTCAACCAAGAATTGAGGTGTTCAAAAACTCGCATTT